TTATAGAATTATAGGGCCATAGGGGTTTAAGGGCTCAGAGCTGAAACAGTTTAGGGTGTTATGGGTTGGAGTGTTCGTGATTGGCCGTCAGCATTGCTACAGTTGACATGGGCATGCAGATGTTCGATGCTGGTGCAGTTGACGGTTCAGTGGCATTATTGATGTCATGCGTGATGCCTGCGCACTCAAGCCTTCAATCCTATCAGCCCAGACTCCGCACTCGTAGACCCCGTAACTTGAAACCATGAACCCTAATAGCCAAGAGCTGTTGAGCCAGGAGACCTGCTATCCACTCAAGCCAGTGTCTCTGGAGCTGGGCTGCGGACCGGGGATGTCCTTACCCTCCATGTTGGGCAGGCGGTGCTTTTCGAGTTGGGATTTTGGGGTTGGAGTTTTCTGGGTCTAGAAAACTCATGGGTCAACTAGACATTGAACTCTGTGAATTCTCTGAAGTGTCTGTGAGAGGAACCATGAAACTATATGCAATGGATGTCTTGAAACCGTCAAGCCTAAAATTCGCACAGGGGCATCCTATACACAGGCTGACCGACCAAGTTTCATTGTAAAAAGCCTGCGATTCATTAAAAATCAAAAGCACCAAGTTGCCCTAGACCTGCCTTGCGGAGCCGTGAGACAGGTGCGGATCGCTGCGACTCGGACGGCTTTCGCCGCCATCCTTCCGGATGGCTCCGTGTGCACCTGGGGGGATCCGAATCTCTGTCGAGGATTTGCGGGGAACTGGGGAAGTTTTGGTTTTTGTTTGAAGGAGGCGGGGGGTTCGGGTGTGGGCGCTCACATGGTTGCGCTGCTTGCGGCTCCAGACTACCCAAACTTCGAGGATTTTGGATTACACAAGCTTTTGTTCAGCCGTTGTGGGTTGTTGGCTCGATGAGGTTTTCGGTTGGGTGTGCAAGACTTGCGCAAATAGTGTGTCCCTGCAACAAAGAATCAAAGAAAGTCACCCAAATTCTGTAATAGTAAGACCGATTGAAAACACCATCGTAAGGAACGGTGGCGGCGAAAGCGCGGACGTGCAGGATCGCTTGCAACTGGGCGCTGAGAGGGTTTGGGAATGGGGCTTCTTGGAGGTCTCGTATAGTGCTAAGAACGAGATCCTAAACCGCCCTAGCCCTGAATGGGTCCCTGCGCATCCTTCATCCACCTGATTTTGCTGGTTTCCAAAGGCAGCGACCGGCTTCTGTTCGCCTGCCATTGCCGTGATGTGGCCTTTCCTGGATGCCTTGTAGAGAGCTGGCTGCCATTTGTAGGTGTAATCAGGGGCGAAAGAGCAGCGCTGCATCATTGATTGCTCTCCCTCTCTCTCCCCCTCTCTCTCTATATATATATATGTGTGTATATATATATGTGTGTATATATATATATACATAATTCATATTCATATTCATACTCATATTCATGTGTATATACATATATGTATGCTTGTGCGTTTGTGTTTATAACTTCATACATATACATATATATATGTATATATATATATATAGAATACCCTAGGCACCTCAAGCTGTTCAAGCGCCTGGTCTACCATTGGACAAGTGCTTATGTGATGATCGCCAAGTATGTGCATCTTCGTGCCCATCCAAAGGTCCAAACATGTAACCTTGCTTTGACATCATCTGCATTATACACGTTCTCACTTGCCTCTGCTTCTGTTCACTGTTCATTTATTTGGTTTCGTGCTCACAGATTCCACGAAAGCGCATAAACACAAGGAGGTAACAGTTGAAGGGCAAAGCCTTTCTAAGTCTCCGAATCCAACGCCTGACATGATGCCCTCCATCCTGAACGCTCGCGAAGCACTTGGAGGTTCATGGGTAGTTATAAGTGGGGTTATAAGTAGGGTAACTATCCATATTAGGGGACTTATAACCCTACTTATAACTACCCATGAACCTCCAAGCAAGGCAAGAAGTCAAAGAGGTTCAGGCCAACGAGGAGTCCTTTGCGGCCATCCTCTGGGACGGCTCCTCGACAGAATGAAGAAAGCAAGCTACGGAGTTGCTGCACTTGTGGATTTTGCTGCGTAGAAGGTCTGTGGATATAGATGGGTATAGTGATATCTTCCTGAGTGTCATTAATTTTGAATTTCGCGTTGAATAAGAACTGGGGCTTTGAAACCGAGCGGTGTACATTGCTGCTCGGAGTGCGGAGACTGGGGTTGAGGACCCTTGGAATAACGGAGGGGGCTTTGCGCTTAGGGTTCGTAGGGGTTCAAAGCTTAGGAGAGAGATTCGTGAGAACTCTGAGTGAGACCACAGGGTTGAATATTATTTCGCTGAACAAGGCTCGGAAGCCTTGTTGTCCTGAAGCCAGTGTCTCCTCATGATATAAGGGAGAAAGTCTGCTGTGCGCCTTGTGTCGTACACTGTGGCACTGTGCAAATGCTGAAAGGTGTTGGGCATGGAGCTGAAAATTCAAGAGTTTGGAGTGTGGGGATCACTGGTTTCATCTTCAACAGTCGTTGGCTTCGGCTGGACATGCTTTGAGCCTGAAGCGTAGCACTGCAAGCCTAACTGGTACTCACAGGAATGGCACGAGAAGCCGCTTCAACCTGCAGGGCTCGCGGGTCTTGTTTCGAAACCGCCCGCAAGGTCGATTTTTGTTGGTTTTGTCCCAGGTCTACGGCTGGATGTATGCCACAAAGCTCGTAAGCTTGGAGAGGGCTGTCCACCCCGAAAAGTGCCCCTGCGCTACTGCTTTTTACAGCTTGACCCAAGCTGCAGCTTGCTTTCGGCTCCCAGGCTTGCCTTGTTCTCCGAAGGTAGCCTTGCCCGAGCAAAGCCGCAGCCCAAAGTTAAAACAAAGAGCCAGTTCCTAAACACTCGCTACTAGGTCATGGCAGTCCAGGCTATCATGCTCGCATGTTGGCCGCGTGTGTTTGTGTGTGTTTTTTATTTATAGGGGGTCTCAAGACTGAGGGACCCACCATAGCAGCTCATAGCATCTATGACGTAGCAGTGTTCCTCCTTTTCGGACCCAGAACAGGAACCTCCAGTTTGGTGAAGTCCACCGTCAGAAGTCGGAATGTGCGCGTGTTGATTTCAGGTTTTCTGTCGTTCAATCTGTTGTACATTGAGGCTCCCGCAAACCTTTATAGCTCCCTGACGAAGGCAGTTGCTTTGATTTCAGTTTTTTTGAGGCGTGACAGCTAATCATTAGCTCAGCGCGAACCGCCAAGCACCTCAAGCCCAACAGCCTGGGAGCCAGCTTTTTGGACTTTGTGATCTCCAGGTTCCGTGGTGACGTGGGGAAGCCTCGACGGAGGGGACAGTGCTATGGTGCAAGACAGGCCATGTGTAAGATTCAAGGTTAAGGTCTCGGGGCTTGTATACTCTATGGGTTTGTACTGTGTATAATGATAATGTTTGATGATTTTCGCGGGTGGGGGCAACGTCATGTTGCAAGGTTTGGCGTTCAAAGGTTCAGCATTGTGGGTTTAGGACTGTCAGCCACTCTACGTTCGCAATACCCTCGCCTGATTGAACCCGAACTTTCCACCCTTACACCCAAGCTTTGAGTGACACCCTGAACGCCGCCGCCCCGCGGTAAGCCCGAAGCCTCTTGGCTCGACCCGGTTGAACACATGCTCGCAGAATGAAGTGCTGTTAGGGTCTAGGGTTCGACATAGTCATAGAAGGCCCTTGCAGGAGTTCAGTGCCAGAAGCTTGTGGGTGTAGGGCTTATGTATATTCACGTGGCAGACACTAATATTATGCCCACCGTTCCAGCATTCACTTTAAGCCCACCCATCGTTATCGGCTTCGGTTGTTGAGTATAGGCCTCGTCAGAATCCGCATACAGCCATCCCAAAAACCTTTCTCGAATTGCTTGCCTTTTAGTATTCGGGCTCCATAGCCCGATCCAAAATGCCCAGATGGATATTCAGTAGTATATGTTTTGGCCCCACTGCGCCTTCAATAGCCAACAACAAGAAGGTAGAGTCGTGGAGAACCTAGACCCCTACCCGCTTCGAAATGCTCGCATATATATCGTACCTAAAATGCAGAGTACACTCAGCCTCCCAGAATCCCGAACAGAGGACCACTGCAATGATTATCGTGTACTGCAGAGTTGTGAGCCAGTAGTAGCAGGTTCTCTTGCTGAAACCTTTTCATGAAGGCCCCTATATTCGACCTTGAACCATGAAAGCACCCGTTGAGGCCGTTATAAACCTGTTCTATCTACCATAGCCCTTACTCTCAGAAGACTCATATGTTAAGGCTTTTGGGCCCAAACAACCCTATTGTACAAGGCTTTGGGCTTTTTTTGATGCCATACCCATAGGCTTCTAAGTAGTTCCTTTCTATGGCTCGTATTTAGAACCCTATAAGGTAACCCCCCAAAAGGAACTACTAAGGAGCCTATGGGTAACTGTGTAGGAGCTTCAGACCCTAAACCCTAAACCCTTAAACCCTAAACCCTAAAACCCTAAAACCCTAAAACCCTAAACCCTATAGGGTTATAACCCTAAACCCTGTGTCGGAGCTTCGGCAGGCTGCGCGGAGTGCGCGAGATCCAAGCCGGGGCAGTGGCGTTCGCAGCCCTCCGCTCTGATGGGACGGTGGTGGCCTGGGGCGACCCTGCCGCTACGCCTTTGCTTGTGCAGAGTGTCAATATTTAAAGTGTAGGGGTTGAGAGGTTTAAGGATATATGGTATATACGGATTCAGAGGTAAGGGTTGTTGCTTACTCAAAGGGTTTTATAAGCACAAAGTACGAATTCGAAGTATGATTTGCCGATCAGGTATGGCTTATGTTTCTTTGTAAGTCCTCACCCCCCGTATAGATACTTAGGATCTTCTGAGTGTCGTCTGGCAACGAAGGAGTGTTGGGCTTCAGGGTTTCCTTCTAATGGTCCTTGATAAACCCCCTGAGCTGCAGGGTTTATAGAGTTTAGAAGCTTCAGTGCGCTTAAGGCATCTTCGGTTCCAAATTGCGGAGTGTTTACCCCAGCATGCGGATGGACTTGCATGTCTAACTTAGGTGAACGGCGGAGACTGCTCTGCGGTGCAGCATGAGCTGATCGGCGTGCAGAAGATGCATGCAACCAAGAAAGCGGGCTAAATTCAGGAAACGACTCTCCCTGATGCCTTCACTCCGAAGCTCAAAAGTCTCTATAAGCCCTGGCGCTGTATTTCCTAGAGCTGGATCAACCGTAGAGCAAACTTCATATGCAGTTGTGATACTCATGTTGTATGTGCCATGTGACTCCAACATTGGGTCAGGTATGCCTTTGCAGCTCTCCTGGAGAGTGGATCTGTGGTTACCTGGGGATCTCCGATTTTTGGTGGCAGTTCCAACGAAGTGCAGATGCTGGGTTCTTGTTAATTAAAGGGTTTTATTTAAGTTACCATAATAGGGATCTATAGTAAATAGTATGGTTTCCTTATTATGGTAACTTAAATTAAATTCCTTAACAACAACCCAGGATGCAGCTTCGTGAGAACGTCACGCAAATCGTGGCAGCCGGGTTCGCCTTTGCAGCTGTGTTGAGAGATGGATCTGTGGCTGCCTGGGGAGCACGAGATGCCGGCGGAGACGCCAGTGGTGTTCAGGACCAACTGGAGGATGTGCAGAAAGTCCAAGCTACCGACGGAGCCTTTGCGGCCTTGTTGAAAGACGGAAGTGTTGTGACATGGGGTTCTGCAGAGCACGGGGGAGACAGCAGCTCCGTACAGCACAGGCTCCAGGCAGTGCAAGCAATCCAAGCCAACGAGGGGGCCTTTGCTGCCCTTTGCTCGGATGGCTCTGTGGCGACTTGGGGGATCTCGGGTGCTGGAGGGGATAGCGCAGCGGTCCAGGAGCAGCTCATTCAGGTCCAAGAGCTGCAATCCACGGAGTCTGCCTTCGCAGCCCTCTTGCGCGATGGATGTGTCGTGACCTGGGGCCAATCTGAAGCAGGGGGTGATAGCAGGAATGTACGTGCGGAGCTGCAGAATGTGAGGTGCATTCAGGCTTCCTATTCTGCTTTCGCGGCTTTGAGAGCGGATGGCACTGTTGTGTCCTGGGGTGATGCGGCTTGCGGTGGAGACAGTAGAATTGTCCAGCAGCAGCTAAGAAACGTGCAGCACATCCAGGCGACTCAGGGCGCTTTTGCTGCCATTCGGCTGGATGGCTCCATTGTCGCTTGGGGAGAGGTGGACTTTGGCGGAGACACTTCGGCCGTCAAAGCACGACTCGAGGGAAAGAGCGTCAAGATCTCGCAACGTGACATTTAGGTATTTTCCAGCCTATTTTAACGTTAACATTGGGTTTCCCACTGTCCCAATATAAGTCTGTATTGCAGGTATTGATACATGGATGCATTTATGCAGAAGAGCTAGCTTTAGGGGTTTACTCCAGTCCTTGAGGTCTGCACTCTGAAAATGCAAGACACTTCATTCTGTGCACATTACATAGGTTGGTTCCCAGACTCGAAAAGATTTGTTAGGTAGAACATAATGTTATCTTGTTTGGATTTAGGCTCCTACACTGCGCATGTCCCTTCAGAAACTACAAACCCGTTGCCCTCGACTCCAAATCTCTCAAGCCCCCCAAGCTTTCAAATCAAACCTCAAGCCCCTTAATTGCGGGCACTACATCTAATTATACCATACTATACTATGCCATACTGTACTGTACTAAGCCATACTATACTATATATATATTTATTTATTTATTTATTTGTTTATTTATGTTTATTTATTTATCTATTTGCATATTTAATACGATATAAACTGCATGATATGATCTCTCCTTGCTTGCTGTTCGCTGCTGCTGCTGCTGCTGCTGCTGCTGCTGCTGCTGCTTGTGCTGCTGCTGCTGCTGCTACTCCGTGGGTTCATAGTGGTCTACTTATAGTCTCCATTCCCTTTTGGGGGTTGTCTAAGGCTAAGGTTTGGGGTTTAGGGTTTTGGGTAGGATCCTAAATATATAATTACTAAAACCAAAACTTTAAAAGAGGAACTACAATGATGAGACCGAAACCCTAAATCCTAATAGCTGAGATTTCTTGCTCCCCGCGTTGCCTTTCACCCTCGGCTCGACCCTGAACCCTAAGCTTGAGGGGTGATAGGGTTTAGGGCTTTAGGGGTTTAGGGTTTTAGGGCTTTAGGGGCTTAGGGTTTTTAGGGTGATAGGAGTTCAGGGCTTTAGGGGTTTTAGGGGGATTAGGGGCTCAGCAGGCCCGACCAGAGGGCCATTCCGGTGGCACCCGCAACAAGGCAGCCCAAGGGCGCACAGCAACATCAACCTTGCAACGCGGGTTTAGGGGTTAGGGTTTAGGGTTTAGGGGTTAGGGTTTAGGGGTTAGGGTTTATGGGGGAGCGAGACTTTGAGTTTCATGCGACGACTTTGCGACCCAAGGCCTTTCCACCTTCCATTGCGAATCGGTGATGCAGTTCTACTTCGCGCACATGGCGCCACATGGGGTCTGAGTGTCATAATGGTCGCATTTCACCAGCTCTTGCAAAGTCTTATTGATTCTCAAAGGTGTTCCTCGTCGCCTAAACGGCTCATACTGTAATGCTGTATTTGCTTGATCGAAATCAGTTGGCTGCTTCGAGAAATGTGGAGTGCTTGCTGTGAATATGCTTTCGGAGTTTGTTAGGATTAGGATGATTGGGAACTGGACTTCGCAAAAGCCACAAGCCGCGTGCAGGCGACCACCTCGCATGCGTTTTGCATCCTGCGATTGATCTCCTTCACCACGCTACTAGTGCGCTCCCGAGCGATCAACGGATGTTTTTGTTTTGCGACATGAAGTTCTTGGAAGTTTTTGGCTGGGTACAGACTAGTAGTTCGTTCAGCGTAGGTATGTTTCAGTCGTTCGGTTTGAGACATTCCTAGTTCATGAAGGAGTGTTCCAAGTCTGGAGCTCCGCAACGCCGTGTTCCTGATCCTGATTACGCGGTGCTTTTGTGCAATCAGATCGAAACCTATCTCAATCGGATCAGCGACGCTACAAGAACAGCCGCCAAGCCGAATTGACGAGACGCTAGAGGTCGAACTCAAACTTCGGAAGTCGGAATTGAATGTTGAAGCTGGCTAGCAATGGAGTGGACGGCCAGCACCTGTAGTTCGAAGACATGCAGCATAGTGCTAGGTTAGATTGAAAGTCAGGGTCGAAATCATGTCACGGTTGTCGGCAGAATGTATGGGCCTTGTAATTACCAATATTATTCTTAGGGTTCCTTATTATAGTGAAACTTTAACGGAGCCCAAAACCCGAATCTAAGTACTATTCAAGGCCCCTAAATTAAAGCACTGAGCCTCGACGAGCCGACACGATTTGGTGAGATGCAGGGATTTGCAGCTTGAGGTTTGAGCGTTTCAGTTTCAGTGATTGCGAGGTGCCAGCAAGCTGCCGTACCCACGTGTCAAAGATGTGACACAGCGGGAATTAGGTGTAGTGACTGGCTTTGTTGTGTCGTTCGCATTGGCATGAAGCCGCTTCAGCACAGTATGCCTACCCAAAGGGTCCAAGTACCATGAAAGTAGGTACTTAGTAGGTATTTGGGCACCCAGTTTAAAGTAAAAAAACACTTAGTAGGTTAGGTAATCATTTGGGCACCCAAAATAAAAACCAACAACCTATTACTTGGATCCTCCGTGTTACAAAAGCAGGCGACGGTCGGGGGGCTTTTTCGAAGCATCCTTGCAGATGAGCCTTTTCCTACTCTCGGGCCCCAGGGGGTCCATAGAAATCCTACTTGGAGGTTCATGGATAGTTGTAAGTAGGGTTATAAATCCCCTAATTTGGGTTATAACAATAGTTACCCTACTTATCACCCCACTTATCACTACCCATGAACCTCCAAGTACAGCCGACCCTACCCCGTTACCCCCCCAAAAGTATCAAAAAGCGTAGCATAGCATAGCAAAGAGGGGGGTATAGGGTTTGGGGTTTAGGATTTAGGGAGAGCTCCAGAGGCTCGAAGCCAAAAAAACTTGGCCTCGAAGAACAGACCCTGGACCCCTCCCCGGCCCAAAACCCCAGACCCCTAAGCCACTCTCTGTGCTTGAATCAGCTGGCTAGGGATCCAGTCGTCTCTCTCACTCGGATTGTCTGCAACTCGCTTTGCATAAAACCCCTAAACTCTAAACCCTAAACCCTCACCCCTAAACCCAAAACCCCCTAAACCCCAAGCCCTGAGCCCTGAATTTGTAAGCACTCTAAACCAAACAAGGTCCAGCTCTTCCTGTCCTCCGAGATCCTGGTGCCCTGGGCGCAGATTTGAGTAAATTTGTGCCTTTCAGAGTTCTATAAGGGCATTGCTATAAGAGAGTTTAGGGTATATGGGTTTCTATCAGGGGTATTACTATAAGAGAGTTTAGGGTATATGGGTCCATGTACCCAAACAGTATAGCAAACGTTGGTTTTAAGGTATCCCTTTTAAAGGTACTTTGGGCTTGGGTTACGTGGACGTTTCGGCTAGCATCGAAGGTTGCAAGACTAGTCATGCAGTAAAGGCCCTATAGCCGGGCCGCTCATCTAAGTCAAGGAGCAGCTCTGAGTCCTCAAAGGGGACCCTGAAAGGCGACCCAAGGTGCTGAGGATTCTCTAGAGACCCGGTATGAAAAGCGTCATGAAGCCCTACAAAACCTTTAGGAAGCCCTCTTAAGACCCTGGCTTCCCCCGCCACCATATCAGGTCAAGCCTTTAGTCTTACTAAACCTCGCGTGGTGATGGATGCTATCATGCTGGAATTGGGCCCCCCAACACCCTCCCGATTGTGAGTTGGCAATGCTATGTCCTTTCGCTGTTTAGGATCTAGGGTTCAGGGGTAGGTTGGTGAAGTGCACTTGCACTTGAAGGCACAGTCATGCCACAAGCATTGCCTCTGTAGCTCCGCAAGATGTCCAGGCTTGGAACTCCTGTTAGGGGAGACCCGTCGATTTTGGCCACCGAACATGGCATTGAGCCTACATGTTGAAAGTCACTTGCCGTCAGAGAAGGAGGCTGTGGCAAGAATCATCGAAAAGGGCCCTCACCTACCCATAGGCCCCTAAGTAGTTCCTTTTTGTGGTAGAACCCTGTAAAGTAATCCCAAAAAGGAACTACTTAGGGGCCTATGGGTAGATCAGCGCCCACCCGTGCACCAAGCAGGCGCTGAATCCCTAAAGCCTGCCTTTACATGACACCCTGTCTAACTAGTAAATCACTATGTGCGTTCGTACAGCTACTTCCCACCCAGCTCCCCCAAAACCCTAAGGCCTAGACCCTCACCCCCTTAACCCTAAAGCCTAACCCCCAAAACCCTAAACCCTAGCCCCCTTTAAGCCTTCCTTCAACCCTAAGTTCCCAAAACCCGAGCTGCACCCCGAACTC